GAAGGGAGGGCAAGGGAAGGGGGGGGAAAAAAAAGAACCAAGAGACTCATGTAATGGTACAAGATCCCAACGATGAATGTAAATATTTTATACCTAAAGTGTACCAATAAAGTTAATAGGGAAAATAAATAAAATAAAGAAGTATATCTTTGGCTGATTTCCTTGGAAGAATTGCATTGCTGCTTCTCACAAATCTTGTCAACATTGACCTCTGGCTCCATGATTCTTCCTTTTCTGGTCCACCTCTCATTTTCATTTCTTTTCTCTATAATATATAATTAAGTATAACTTATATTTTGGGGGATGGTTTGTTTCCAAATCTTAACTATGCTTCATTTTTCTCATTTATAATATAAGAGGTAACTATCTACTTGCTCCACCTAGAAGAGTTGTTGCAAGTTTCAAATTAGATGTCCAGACAAGCATAAACTGGTTCTGCTGCTTCCTAGTTTTATTTATTTATTTATTTATTTATTTATTTATTTATTGGTGCCAGGGATCAAACTTAGGACCTCAAGCTTGCCGGGCAGGCACTGCGCCTGCTGAGCTACATCCTGGTGCCCCCTGTTAATTTCATTTCTTTGAGTTTTTTCCTTTCATACTGAGATTGCTAATAAGATGTATCCTGATTGTTTCCTACTAGTAACCATAGTTTCAATATTTCATGTGCAATGGAATTGTTGCTGCAGATTATCATATGGGATGGGATCTGATATTTTAAATGGCATTTATACTTCAAATGTTAGCAATTTTTTGAGGAATTGTATTCTCTCATCAATTGAGCAAATGTTTTTTTCAAATTTGAAAGCATTCAGAGGAAATCAGAATTAGCAAGAAATATTTCCAATATAAACCAGTATAAATTTAAAAATTCCCATAGGAACATTCCCATCAAAGATATAAAAAAAGATACTTGATAAACTGGTCTGCCATTCCAGGTCATCATTTGGTAGTTAGCAAGGTGGACATTCAGCAGTTGATTATTGGATAAAGTGGCTCTTCGGTGGCTTGGCTTTCTAGGGTTAGCATTCTGCAGCCTGGCCTGCTTGTCTGCATGGGGGAAAGCTTGCTAATAGGAAAGAAAATATGTACAGCCTCTACACAGATATGTTGTCTAATTGTTTATAAGTATAGGTTGATATATTGCTTAGGCAATTAAAAATAGTACAAAACAAGATATTTGAGACAAGTGTGTGAAGAAAATGTGCCAGAGGTAAGAGGTGGTAAGATGAAATATACCTGGGGTTAAAAAGTAGCAAACCAAATGCATCTGATAAATCCCTGCTCACACATTTTACTTATCAGAGGCAATAAAAACAGTATTAAACATGACTATCATAATTTCAATTAGATTCTACTGTATATAACAGACAATCAAAATAACTGTTGCTGAAATGAAACAAGCAATTATTTCCCTCTCACATAAAAGAAATCCAGTAGTGAGCAGTCGAGGGCTGGAACAGAGCTTCTACATGTCATTGGGCAGGGACTAACTTTTTTGTTAGTATCCTGGTACCTAGAAGGTTGCGGTCCCAGAAGGTTGCTGAAGCACCAACCAGCATTCCTGAAATAAGGGCTGAAAAAAGAAGGCAGAAAAGAGACACCTGTCTATTGAATCAGCCCTCATTGGGTAGCATCTCTGGAAGACTCATGCAATCCAGATTTCCTTGTGGGTTTAGAGTCTTAACTATACTTGAATTCAAGGAAGCTGGGCAACATGTGCTTTTGATAATAAAAAGGAAAAAAAAGAATGAATATTGTATTTGTTATCAGTCTCTTCTCTTTTCTCCTTTTGCATTTGATATTCACAAATATTTCTTATCAACTGCTTAGAAACACGATATTAAACTTTGGCAGAATTATTAAAGATTTTTTTCATGGGGAGCAATATAGAGTAGTCTCCTTTATTAGATGGCAGAATTTATTTAAGAAATATATTTAGGGGCTGGGGATTTGGCTCAGTGGTTTCGCTGCCTGCTGCTCAAGTGCAAGAACCTGAGTTCGATCCCTGGTACCAAACAAA